CACACACACACACACACCTCCAGTATTTTCACATAGGAATATGATTCCTCCACTATCTCCCACGAGCCACGCCTTAGTGCCTCAACGCACAGCCAAGAAAATGTGACCTCACGCTGCCTTTTAACCAGAAACACTTACAAATCCCTTACTATTGCACATATGCATCTTAGAAAATCATTTAATAAAAAAGTTACATTGAGACAATATTTAAATAGAGAGTTAATGAACTACTTTGCCCATTGATTAAAGCTATGCAATGGTTAAAACATGTGGCACACTGTTTCAGAGTAATCTGGTACAGTTTGAGGTAGAAACTCACCTGTACAATATGATGTAGTCTATGATGAAAAGCAACACAAGCTTGAAGTCTGTGTCATTCACTATGGAATTGCTTTACAAAGTATCAAACAGGTGACCATTATCTAGGTAGAGGGGAATATATGTATGCATGTCCCTGTGTGATGAAAAAAGCTGGATGTTGCAATTAGTTGCAAACTATTCCAAGCTCAACTTCAAAGGCTGTTTTTGTCAAGGTATTCCAGCTGCCTGTTTGGCTTTTTGCTATGAAGTACAAACAATGCAGAAATATCTTGCTTTGTAATTACTGGTGTCACTGTTATAGGAAATATCAGCTTCCATCATCAATACACTTAAAGGTATAGTGGAGGATGTTCTTAAAGGGGAGTGGTGGCCTAGAGGTTAGGGTATAGAGTTTGGAATCCTGAAGTTCTGAGTTTGCCACTCTTAACCCCACACTTCTCCCTGTTCGCCCGGCAATGGCAGCCCACTGCCCCCCAAGGGGATGGGTTAAATGAAGAGGTAAATTTATCCAATGTGATCAATGAAGTTCAATTATTATTTTCCAGGTGAATCATCAAAATAACTGGTCATCCTAATTCTTCATCATTCTGGTGATATATTTAAGTAAGGCCGTCCTACGTGCCGGTCCCAAGGTAGCTATTTTGTCGGTGGTGAGTCTGATTTAGTGGAAAAGTTGCAAATCTTCTTTTGGAAAGTAACCTTGCATGAGCAATGCAAACAGCAATTTTTAAACAGAGCGTGCATGAGGAGAAATAAGCTCATGCATGTTCTCGCACGCATTTAATAGTTGTTCCCTCTCAGGAGTGGGTACAGGGTACAAGTGGAGAGGGTGGGTCTTTTCAAAAATTCATGAATATCCTCCACTATACCTTTAAGCTTTTGCTTATTCGCCTATAAATGGGCTTGAATTGAGTAAGACTGGATGATTGGCATCTGTGAGCAGACATTAAGTGCAGACACAGATTCTGACATAGATTTTAGATACATGAAATCAATTTCTCCCTGTCCCAGCTGAAGAAAGGTCTTCCCACAGCATGATGTTGCCACCACTGATTCACTTCAGGGATTGTATGTTTAAAGTGATACAAAGGGTTTTTGCCACACATAGCAACTTTTCTCCCTGACCAGTTTGCTGTGTTTTAGTTAGTCTCCAAGATGCTGTTAGTTCAGTAATGTTCCCTAACAAACCTCTGAAGCCTTCATAAAACCGCTGTTTATACTGAATTGGAATTATAAGTTGACTAATAATCATGTAATGTCTGAGGGCAATTAATTATTCAAAGGTTTCAGAGTAAATAGGGCTGAATACCAATGCAAAGTCGCACTATTTAGAAAAATATTAAGAAAAAAATTTTAATTTCTGGTTACATTTTGCAAATAAATTATTAGGCTGAAAGGAAAGCATAACGCCCTCTGCTGGTCACACTACTGCAATGAGAATAAATGTCTAAAGCATTGTATTAAAAGTTGTAAAATACAGTTTTTAAGTGATTTGAGATATTTGCATGTTGATTCCTTATTCTGTATTCTCTCTATTTAAGAACAAGTCATTGAGAAAGATGAAGGGCCATACTACAATCACCTGGGATCAGGACCTACAGTAGCCTCGATACGCAGCCTGATGGAGATGAGGTGTGTCATTTCTTCTGTTGGTTTTCCTTACTCTCTACCACTTTCACCTGCATGTCTATGCCTTCCTCCCTTCCTTTCTCTCCAACTTTCCTCCTCTTGTTTTGCCCTCGGGGAATCCATGACCCAGAATTTAGTTGGTGGAACTGGAAAATAAGTATTATCAAGATATCACAGGCTGAGCAAGAAGTGTGTGGAGTAGCAGTAGCAGTAGCAGCTGAGCATGGGAGCAGGAAGGAAGAATAGATGCTGATTAAAAAAATGCTTTAACAGAACAATAAATGCAAAACAGGCTGAATTTGCTGTTCAAAATGTTAACCAGCATAAAAAGCTGCTAGAACAAACATACTAGTGTTGGATATCAGAAGTAATCCATTCTCAACACATGCCCCATAAATTGTACTGTAGATTCTGTGTTTATACTGTATACAGTAGTATATTTATTGAACATTGTGTTGTCCCAGGCTAAGGATGGGATCTGTTGTGCTGTGAGTCATGAACCCTCTAAAGTGTTGGGGGGGGATGCCAAAGCTGATTGTTGTTCGAGAAATGACGTAAGATGTGAGGAGCTCATTGTCCCTGGCTGACCTTTGACCCACCTCTGAACCCAGAAGCCCCTCTCTATAGTAACAGCCGTTAATCCTCAGGCTTTCTGAGGTACAGCAGGGTGACTCCTCTATTTACTGGGAGCCCCTTGTCCTCACTGTCACGCCAAATCTGCTCAGGACTGAGATTTTCACAATGGCAGGTATCAAACTGCGGGGGTGACCTGATATGAGCTGCGAACAGATATGTGACAGGTTCTGGTGACCTGGCGATGCCCCAGAACAACCTCCGACCTCTGTTCTTCCTTCAGTGAACCTAACAAGGAAACACAAAACATCCCTGAAAAGCATGTGTCAGCATAGAAATAAATGCAATCATGTATTACTAAAATCAGAACAGATCTCCATGAGAGGGCCTGATCCTGCAGAAAGTTTAGGCAAGGCAAGGCAAATTTATTTGTATAGC